GTCCGTGCGCTACCGGCTGCTGAACGGCCCCAGCGTGCCCGTGAGCTCCCTGGCCCCCACCCTGCTCCTGCTCAACCTCAACACGGGCATGGACAGCGGGGGATCCCTCGTGGTCAGTCTGCTGCTCAACAAGGTGAGCAGGGGGACAAACGGCATTGTGTCCCCTTGGCAGGGCTCCAGAGGGTGTTGGCACGGTGGGACTGTTTCTCTTGTTGTTGTTACAAAATACTCCAAGCCTTTTTTAGCTGCTGGCAGTGTGTCCCACCTGCCAGCTCCGATTCCAGTGGCACAGCCTGTGGTGTGTGGTGGCAGTGACGCAGAGGAGACAAAATGGAAAGCAGCTGCAGTGCCATCCTCTCCATGGGAGCCTGGCACCTTGCCACCAGGAGAGGAGGCTGGGCAGGGGAACCCAGGGACGTTCCTGTCCAAGTCACTGATTCCCAGGCTCCTTCAGTGACACCCCACCACCACCAAAATCAGCCCCCTGAAATTCCATTAAACTTCTTGAGGGCTGCCCAGGGCTCAGCCCTGATGTTCTGCAGACTCTGACTTGTGTCTCCCCTGTGCTGGTGCTGAAATGATGAGTGGGTGTCCCAGTTTTGGGGCAGGGTCCCCCATGAGAGTCTCTTGCCTCTCATCCATGACACAACACAGTGGTAGCACAAGGTCCAGTGAAACAGAAACCTTCTGGATTGATGGGTGACTTGATCTGAAGGATTTATTGTCCTGGGCACTTTGGGAAAGGGATGCTGCAGGGGGTTGGCACTGGGGCACTCTAACGTGGGGCACTGCTCTGTTTGCAGACATCTGTGAGCCTGGCCAATGCCACCGTGGCAGCCTGTGTGAGTGCTGCTTCTCCAGTGTTGTCCCTCAATGCCACACAGAACTGCAGCACAGGTAGGAGAGATGCTGACCCTGCCACCAGCTCAGCTGTGTCATCCCAGGCTGTGCTTTTCGACCTGGCAGGCTGTTAACTAGCTCAGGACTTCATGGTGTGTCCCAAAGAATCCAGTTTTTGCACAAACCCTCATGAGGTCTTTGTGCTGGCACATTCTCAGTGTGTCTTGGCACCACGAGATAGCCTCCACCAAAGGAGGGTCTGGTTACCAGCTGGGGCTCTTCCAGCCTTGTTGGCAGGAGGTTTGGGGATGGTGAAGGTACTGCTGGTGTGCAAAGCAGCTAAGCTGTGCATGGAGGACCAGCCAAGACAACAGGCTGTTCCAGGTGCCCTGTGCTGCCCAGATATGTTCCAGGAACTGAGATGAGATAAAAAACTGAGATCTCAAGAAAAAGAGTCTTGAGAGCAGGGGTGCTCTCCATGCCCCTGGTGCCTCCTGAGCATGGGAGCAAGGAGCCACAGGAGGCAGCTGATTCCTGTGTGGTCAGTCTCAGCCTGGCATTGCTGTGGGCCCTTCTCCCCAAGCCCTGGCACATCACAGCACCCTCCTTTTCTCAGCTTTCTCCCAGGGCTACCCTCTGAGTGTGAGCACGTCCTCTGCAGAAGCCACGCTGATTGTCCTGTACCCACAGACCGATGACTGGTTCCTGTCCCTGCAGCTCCTCTGCCCCAGGGCACAGGGGTGAGTCTGGATGTCACCTCATGCCTCCCACTGCCCTTGTGTGAGCAAACCTGACCCCCTGTTTGGGCTGTGGGCTCCTCTCAGCTGGTGGCATCGCCCTGTGGCTGCAGAGGGCAGGGAGTTGGTGGCCCTGTTCCCTTGTGAGCACCCTGCAGCTCGTTTGATGCTGAGCTGGCACAGCTCACATCGACTGCAGATGGCAGAGCCTGCCTAGGGGAGCTTCCCCTTCCCCAGGTGCATTCAGAGGTGATGAATTGGGAAATAATTGCTGCTGTTGCCCTTCTGGGAGGTCCCTAAGGTGCAGAATTCCTGCAGTTTGCCTTCCTGATGGTCTCCTGTGTAAGGAGCTGGTTTCCTGTGTAAGGAGCCAAGTGCACGATGCTAAACAGCACTGGTGACACTGGTCCTGAGGACAGTCATGGGCACTGCCATGGGGTCTGGGGACAGCTGCCACCCCCCTGGAGGTCAATTTGGCAGCCCAGGGGCTGAGGGGGCAGGCCAGGGGGGTCTGGGGACAGCTGCCACCCCCCTGCACATCAGTTTGGCAGCCCAGGGGGCGAGGGGCAGGCTCTGCTCCTGGCTCTCTCAGGGATGGAGCAGATCCCAGAATACCAGGGAGCTGCAGGCAGGAGCACGGCCTGGCCATGGGGAGCAGGGAGAGGGCTGTCCCCAGGGCTGTGGCAGCAAGGGGACGTGCTGTCCTTGCAGGGGCTGTGCCGGTGCTGAAGGCAGAGTGTCGGTGTTCGCCTACCTCACCCCCTGCTTCAACGACTGCGGCCCCTATGGGCAGTGCAGCCTCCTGCGCAGGCACGGCTTCCTCTACGCCGGCTGCAGCTGCAAGGCCGGTGAGTGCCCGCTCCTGGGAAGCTCTGCCACCCTCCCCGAGGGCACAGCACAGGTCAGGGCGTGCGGTTGGGGTGGGGGAGCCTGGGGTCTGCTGTGGTGGCAGTGTCACAGTGCCCGGGGAAGGGAAGCTCTGGGAAGCGCCCAGGGGTGATGGGGAATGGGATGAGGACATCTTGGAGCCCCCCAGGGCTTGGAGCAGTGCTGGTGGGCATCTCCAGAGAGATCAGGGTGCCTGAAATGCCTGTGTCTGTCAGGGTTTGCTGTGTGGGCTCCTGGTATGAGCTGTGATGAGATGCAGTCCCTGTGTCTCCTGCCAAGAGCCTGAGACTCAGAGGTGCCCCTGGAGGAGGAATATCTGTGTCAGCTCCTCATTATCTTAATGGCCTGGGAAGTCTGTGGTGGAGGGAAGGAGAGCTCTGCTGTGCTTGGGTGGGTCTGTGCACCTGTTCTCAGCAGAAGGACAAGGTAAAATGTGGTTCCCTGCTGCCCTGGGCCTGAGCCAGGGCCTCCCTGCTGCAGAGCTGCTGATGGGTGAGCAGGGAGATGAAGAGCAGCATCCCAATTTCCCCGAGGGCTGCCAGGTTCTGGGAAGCACAGAGCACCTGAAGGGAACTGGAGAATCAGGCTGAGGACAGCTTTCTGCTGAATCACCCCGAGCAAAGTGCCCCATCTGCACATTGGTGACCCAGAAATAAAGCAGAGAGTGTAGGTTCCCTGGGCTCTGCCTGGCAGGGAGCCAGCACTCAGGGCAGAGCTGCTGCTGTGGCTTCCAATCACTCTGGAATGGGATGGATGCCACTGTTAACTCTGCCTCTTGACCATGGAGGGCGTGCACATACCCCTGTGGCTGACCTCCTTTTTTCAAAAGGATGGCATGGGCACCTTAATCTTTAATTAAAATAATTTAAATAATTTTAAAAAAGAAGAGGCAGATTTGTGTTCGTAGAGATTGCCTCAGTTCAGTCTTTGATATCCAGTCAGGGGTGAGAGTTGTGTTTTGTGTCAGGCACTGTCCTTTAGGAAATTAGGGTTCTTTGCAGCCCTGGATGTCACCACGTGCTGAGGCAGTGGGTTTGTTGAGGCAGTGAAGAGGAGCTGCTATGGGACCAGTCACACTTTGTGCTGCCCAGAGGTGCCAGGGACCCTGGAGTCAGCTCTGCAGGGTGAGCACAGGGAAAGGGCAAGAGGCCACAGACATTGGCTGCAGCAAGGAAATTGTCACCTAAACTGAAGAAGACACTTTTTCTCCCCCTTCAGAGCTGTTTGTTTTTGCACAGGTTCCAGGTCTCCATCCTTGGAGATCTTCAAAAGTCATCTGGGGAAGGTCCAGAGCAGCTTGACCTGGTTTGGGGTCTGCCCTGCTATGACAGCTGGTAGGAGAGGAGCCCAGTGGCTTCCTCAGGGATCTTGCACTCAACTTATACCATCACATGAAGCTTCTGAACCTTGACTACTTGATGTTCCACCAGCAAGCAGCACATGTGTTGAGTTACTGCAGGGATGGAAAGCACCAGTGTGGATGTAGGATGGCCTCTGCTACCTGGGGACAACCTGGGGAACGTCCTCAGGGCGGCCACAGGGCTCTGCTGGGCTTCCCCAGCTTCCCACAGCACAGTGTGTGACAAGTAATGAAACACTCTGAGAGCAGGAGCACGAGAGGCTGATGCAGAAGAGGCTCAGGGATGTCTGGGTGTGGGATTGCTCCTTCTCAGGCACCCCAGCTCCTGCTGGTTGCTGTGGGAGGACAAGGCAGGGCCTTGGAGATCCACAGAAGCCTCTCTGTCCACAGGCTGGGGCGGCTGGAGCTGCACAGATGACAGCAAGGCCCAGACCGTGGGCACACAGAACCTGGCCACGCTGCTGCTCACCCTGAGCAACCTCATGTTCCTGCCCGCCATTGCAGTGGCTGTCTATCGCTTCTACCTGGTGGAGGCCTCTGTCTACACCTACACCATGTTCTTCTCCACGGTAGGGACTGCCCTGTGTCCCCTCACCTCGCCCTGAGCTCTGGGAATGCTGTGCCAGAATGGAGTCCTTGGTGGAGCAGCTCCACAAGGAGCTCCTGGGATCATTGGACAGGCACCTCCAAGGGCACATTGTAGTATCCAAGAATGTTAAATGTTAAATGTTAAATGTTAATGTTAAAGTCCATTCCAACCCTTAACATTCTTGTAGTATCCAAGAATGTTAAAAGGGGTTGGAATGGACCTTAAAAATCACCTGGTTCCATGGACAGGGACAACCCCACTAGACCCGGTGGCTCAAGGCCTTATCCAACCTGGCTTTGAATACTTCCAGGGCTGGGGCATCAACAACCTCCCTGGGGAACCTGTTTCAGTGTCTCACCATGCTCACAGTAAAAAAATTCTCCCTAAATCCAACCTAAATTTCCCCTCTTTGAATTTGTACCCATTAGTCCTTGTCCCATCACTCCAGTTCCTGAGAAGAATCCCTCTTCAGCTTCCCTGTAGCCCCCTTTAGATGCTGTGAGTTCTCCATGCACCCTTCTCCTCTCCAGGCTGAGCAGCCCCAACTTTCTCATCCTGTCTTCACAGAGCAGGTGCTTCAGTCCCCTTGTCAGCTGTCCCTCTGTGATGGTGTTCACAGGGGTCTGAGGATGAGGGGAGAGATGAGGATCTGACTCCATGTTTCAGAAGGCTTGATTTATTATTTTATGATATATATTACATTAAAACTATACTAAAAGAATAGAAGAAAGGATTTAATCAGAAGGCTAACTAAGAATAGGAAAAGAAAGAATGATAGCAAAGGCTTGTGTCTCGGACAGAGAGTCCGAGCCAGCTCACTGTGATTGGCCATTAATTAGAAACAACCACATGAGACCAATCACAGATCCACCTGCTGCATTCCACAGCAGCAGATAATCATTGTTGACATTTTGCTCCTGAGGCCTCTCAGCAGAAAAAAATCCTAAGGAAAGGATTTTTCACAAAAGATGTCTGTGACATCCCTCCTCTGGCCCTGCCCCTGCTCTGTGTCCTGCCTGTCAGAGCTGCTGGGTGCCTGCTCTCACCCTCTTTCCACAATGCCACAGTGGTTTGGTGGAGCCTGCTGGAGCCACTGCAGGAGGGATCCTGCCTGTGGGCTGAGCCCTCTCCTGCCTCCCCTTCCCAGAGAGCCCTGTGGTGCTGCTGGCTCTGTGCTGACCTTTGCTTTTGTCCCCTTTGGGTGCAGTTCTACCACGCGTGCGACCAGCCGGGCGTGGCCGTGCTGTGCATCATGGACTATGACACCCTGCAGTACTGCGACTTCCTGGGCTCCGTGGTGTCCATCTGGGTCACCATCCTCTGCATGGCCCGCCTCAAGAAGATCCTGAAATACGTGAGTGTCAGGTGTCCCCATGGGGCCCAGCCAGACCCCAGCCAAGCCACAAGTGACCACACTGAGCCCTCTCACCTCTGTGTTTAATGACACAGCTGGGTGACAAAGCCTGTTTGTCACCCACTGCTACCCTAGCTTGTTTTGTCCCAGCACTTTGGCTTGTGAGCCTGCGTGCTTGCAGGGGCTGGGCCTGAAAGTTTCCCCTGAGATTTGGGGTAAAGGTTTGTGGCTTCTGTGGTTTCTCCTCCTTGAAGGTGTTTTTCCTGACTCTTGTGTGGATGCAGAGCTGGGAAGCCAGAAGAAGAGGTTCTCCTTGCCTCTGGCACACCTGGCTGTGCTCTCTCAACACATGAGCTCCTGCCAGTAGTGGTGGTGTCTCTGTTCCAGGTCCTTTTCGTCTTGGGGACCCTGTTAATTGCCATGTCCCTGCAGCTGGACCGCAGAGGGGTGTGGAACATGATGGGTCCCTGCCTCTTCGCCCTCCTCATCATGGTTACAGCCTGGGTAAGTGAGGGCAGCCAGGCAGGACCTGCTGCCCTTTGCTCCCTGTGGGGAATGGTGGTGGTGGAGCAGACCCAAGGCTCCAGCCCATCCAGAGGCATGGTTTGGAACCCTGAAACACCCAGATGGAGGGAGCAGGGCAAGGGATTCACCTTCCAGCCCTGCAGTAGCTGAGAAACCCCTGGTTCTGGTCTCACACCTGTAGTGCTATCCCAAAACACGGGCTGTGGCTTGGCCCTGGGCAGAAGCCGTAGCATCTGTGCTGGGCTCTGGTGGGTTCTTGGGGGGCTTTTGCAGAGAGAGATGGGCCCAAGCAGCAGGGGGGCCAAATTCCTCAGGGACAGCAAGCACCCTGGTGTAGCAGTTCATTTAGGGGGTCCCCAGGGGGCCCCCTAAGCTGTGTGTTCACTTGTGCAGGCAAGGAGACTCCACATGGCTTCGGAGGGTGCTGATTAGGTGAGGGTTTATTGGGTGTCCCACCCCTGGGAGCAGCATGGTTTTTGAGGGGGAAGGGGGGAAGGGGGAAAGGGGGAGAGAGAGGAAGATCCTAGGGAGAAAAGGGCCCCCACAGCCTAACAAAAAGATTCAAAGTAGGTGCAGAATAAGATCTGGGCCACTGGGATTACAGATACATGATATTTCAAGGCTTGGAATAAACCCTATATTTTTGAGGGGTGAGAGCATATCATAAAAATAAAATATGACACCACACCCTGGGAGGCTGGCAGATGCTCTGGGGTCTGTTTTTACCCCCTTCCCCACATCTGCTGGGCTGCTGAACCCCCAGAGTGTGCTCTGACCCCCCAGGTTCACCACGGAGCAAAGCGCAGGCACTGCTACCCCTCCTCGTGGAAGCGCTGGGTTTTCTACCTCCTCCCAGGGATCACCTTGGCTTTCATTGCCATCTCAGTGTACGCCTTCATGGAAACCAATGAGAACTACTACTACACCCACAGCATCTGGCACGTGCTGGTGGCCTGCAGCGTGGCTTTCCTGCTCCCTCCTCGGGACAAGCATAAGAAGCCCTGGGCCTGGCCCCAGAAGCTCACGTGTCGCTATCAGATCTGCCAGAATGACCGTGAGGAGCTCTATGCTGTGACCTGACCTGGCCTGGCCTGGCTGCAGGGATGGGGAGGCTGCTCCTGCCCCTGGCACGTTGTCACTCCTCTCATGGGCTCGTCCCCTGGGCAGGAGGGCGCAGCGTGGACTGGGTTTAAAGGTGAAGATGGTCTGGGCTGGTCTTGTGGAGGCAAGCTTGAGGCCACCTCTGCTTTTCTGCTGGGGTGGGGCAGGCTCTTTGTGGTTCCAGATCAAGGAATAGCTTGTTCCCCACTTCCCCATAGCCCTGGGGGAGATGGCCAACCCTTCTTCCCCTGCTGCTGCATCCACAAGGCTTGGGCTTAGCCCACACTGAGCTGGAGCCAAGGCTTTGGCTGCTGGGCTCTTCTCTGCACCCCGTCCTGGCAGAGGATGGGGGACACCCCTGCCATCCTGCAGCCAGCACTTGAACCCAAGAGAAGAACAGAAGTTTCTTCTGCTCTGGGGAGCAAATGCTGCTGAGTGCCCTTGGTGCTGATGGGGAGGGAGAGCGGGAGCTGATCTCAGCACGTGCTGGGCCCTTGGCTGCCATCTCCCTGGGGGTGTGGGGCCTCTCTCCCTCTCAAACAGGTGCTGCTGCTCTTACCTGGTCCTGATTCTGTGGGGGAAGAATGAGGCTGGGACTTGGGCCCTGGATTCAGGATCAGACCTGGCAGGAATGTGAAAAACCCCACGTGGGGACATGCAGGAGACAGCAGCAGCAGCACGTGACACCCACAGCAGTGCAGGGTTTAGTCTGAGTTTAACTTCAGCTCTGGGAGGAGCCAGGCTGATGGTGTTCAGGGATTCACTGTGTTCCTTTTTTGGGGGGTTTGGCGTGGGCAGGGCTCTCTCTGGGGCAGCACAGGTGGTTGGGGTGGTGCCTGAGCTGCTCCTCCAGCCTGCTGTGCCCCAGATCCTGGATGTGCTGCAGGCTCTGAGGCCTCTGCAGCCCCAGCCCAGCCAGGAGCATCACAAGGGGCTCCCCGGGTGGCCAGGTCTCCTTTGCAGCGTGTCCCACCTTAGCCTTACTCCAGGGCACGCAGAAAGCAAGGGCAGAACTTGGCAACCAGGGAAGCTGTCTTTGCCCATCCTTCTTCTACAGATAAGGGCTCAACTCCATTCTTGCAGCTGTGTCAGCCTGGTGTGTGCTGCTGGAGCCCCTCCTCAGGTGGCTTTGGGGAGGAGAGAGCTGTTAATGAAGGATTTGCCTCCTCGGGGTTCTTTCTCTGCTTTGAAGAGCACCCAGCTCAGCTGTGCACTTTATCCCTCTGCCTCCCCTTCCTCTGCAAAGTCCCCCTTTTTAAGCAGGCTCAGGACAAGTGAGGGACACTTGTCCACACCCAGCAGTGTCATCCCCCTGCCACCCGTGTCCCCTGCCTGTCCTTGTGCTGCTGCCATCCAGGGCAGCACGCTGGGAAGGGGGACACGGGGCCCTCAGGGCTTCCTCCAACTTTTACCACTTTTAGGCACTTTTTTTGTCCCCTGTCTGGGTTTGCACAGCGGTGCTGAGGCCCCAGCACTGTGGCAGGGGATCACTGCTCCTTCACAGCCGTGCCGTCCATGCCAGGCCACCAGTGGGACCTGGGGGCCACCAGGGGGACCTGGGTGCCACCAGACTGGTCTGGGTACTGCCAGCATGACCCAGGTGCTGCCAGTGGGACCTGGGTGCCACCAGGGTGACCTGACTGCTGCCAGTGGGACTTGGGTGCCACTGGTGTCGCCTGGGTACTGCCAAGGTGACCTGAGTGCTTCCAGTGTGACCCAGGTGCTGTTGGTGTGACTCAGGTGCTGCCCAGGTGCCACCAGTGTGACCTGATGCCACTGACATGGCCGGGTATTGCCGGTTATCATAGAAAGCAATAATTCCTCATCGGGCCTTTCCCTTCAGGGATTTCTGTGCTGGAAGCAGGAGAAGCTTTGAGGCAAGAAATCTCGCTGACATGATTGTTTATTTTATTTTTATTTTATGTATCATTCATTTTTTGCTTTGCCCCCTCCCTGCTGACCCGGCCTTGGTGCTGCAGGAGGGAGGGTTAATTATTTTGGGTAAAATCTGAGCAAATTCCTGCGTCTGGGAAAAAAAAAAAAGAAAAAAAAAGGTTATTTTTTTTCTTTGCTGTTAATACCTGTGATTATTTTATACAGTAAATTTTAAAGCTTACAGTTTTATAATTTAATAAAGGTGACGGTATTTGCGGGCAGATGGTGGTGGCTGCAATCACACAACCACAGGGGTGGAAGAAGAAGAAGGGGTGGAAGAAGAAGAAGAAGGGGTAGAAGAAGAAGAAGAAGGGGTGCATCTCCTGCAACCCCTTGCCCAGGCAGGGTCACCTGGAGCCCCAGGGCCGTGTCCAGGGGGGCTGTGGGCTGGCCCAGGGCTGCCCTGCTCGGCTGCTCCGGGACTCGGCACACTCCGTCTGTTCTTCCTCACGGGATCACGGGGTATCCTGAGTGGGAAGGGACCCTCAGGATCATCCAGTCCCACCCTGGCCCTGCACAGACCCCCCAACAACCCCACCCTGTGCCTGAGCATCGCACAAATCCCCCTGGAGCTCTGGCAGCCTCGGGGCTGTGCCCATTCCCTGGGGAGCCTGGGCAGTGCCAGCACCTCTGGGGGAAGAACCTTTCCCTGATATCCAACCTAACCCTGCCCTGGCGCGGCTCCAGC